TGCCATACCAGACACTCTGTATGTGTACCAGACTCTGGCACTTCCTTGACACTCCTTGAATATATGCACACACTTATTCAAACATATATTGAATTATACATTACATGTTTTAATCAAAACACTCATCAAACACTACTTATATCTATATGTTACACTTTGACACACTTCTTGAAGCACGTTGAACATGTGCTGAGTTCGTTTCAACCAATACCCAGTTCAAAACTATGATCCAAAGGTGTTTTGGTATTAGGTTCAAATTCAAGCGGTTTTCTAACTTAAAATCTATGTGATAAAAAAGAAATATAAAAAAGTTGTAGGAATTTACAACATGATTGGAAAAAATATTAATCTTATGTAAATTATTAATTTAATAAAATAAATACACGCGCGCGCGCTCGTGCACCCACACAGCCACGCACACGCACACACATACATATATATAGCTATGTTCCGTCCATGTACCGGTACTCATACCCTCATCAGCACCGTGTGTCTGTAGGTGGTCATGTTCCACTTTGACCTACAGTCATCCAATGACCCAGTACATTGTAGTAGGAAAAAAAACCTTTGGCTTAGTTTGGGAACCCATATATTGGGCCCCTGATTTGAAATTCAAGGTATTTCAAATGCAAATATCATGTTTAGGCCTCAGTTTGGACTTGCATTTCAAATCCAATATATTTTACAACATGGATTTTAAAGATCAAATTCTTGGATTTCAAATTACAGTCCAACCCTTGGTATTTGTCAAATCTTGACTCGGATTCCTCTCTCTCTCTCTCTCTCTCTCTCTCTCTGTGTGTGTACGCATTTGGAGATTTAGATGTGCTTTTGACTAATTTCTTAGCAATTAATAATGCTTATTGCTAATGGTTGTGAATAATTGCAATTCTAGGAAAAAATTATAGGAAATCCTCCTTATTCGAGCAAAGAGCTTTCTCTCATCTCCTAATGGTTGTGAATAATTGCAATTCTAGGAAAAAATTAGGAAATCCTCCTTATTTGAGCAAAGGGGCTTCTCTCATCTCAAATCTCAAAGGTACAAATTATCTTTTTTTAATCATGATTTAGTTGATTGAGTAATCTTAATTATCTGCAAAATTTTTGATTTTTTGTGGATACTTTTATGTGAGGTTCGAATTTTAGTGGATTTTTTGTATCCATTTGGCATATTTTGGGGTTAATCTTTGTTTTGTTTTCTAATTTTATTTGGATGCTTCAATTAAAATTAGCGGTGAAAGGGTTAATAGGAGAAAAAAAATTAGTTTTTGATGCTTCAATTGACATAACTATTGAAAAGATTTCACAGTTAAAAGGGTTTAGATCCAATTCTACTACACATAATGCATAATGGAAATAACATATAATTGGGCATCATCTTACAACACAAGAAGTAAAACAAACCAAACTTGTATTCTTGTTAATATCATGGAAACAAACTTCAGTGCCCACGTTAAATTATAGATATATAATATATTTATTGTAGAAAGCATAAAAAACTACAAGTGCCTATAACCATTTCTTTTCTTTTATAATGTATAATGAGAAGTTGTTGCTTGATATATATGAATAGTCACAGTATGTAGCCTATAGGTCGCAAGTATTGCTCTATTTTACTGCCATATGATTTTCTAGAACTTTTTTAATCAAGTTATTACTAGAATTAATTGTTCTGTTTTGTGTCTTTTTTATTTCAGTTTTCATTTTAAATATGGACTTCAATGTACCAACATATGGCCAACAACATTTCCATATCATTTTGGAGGTATAGATTTTTGCTTCTTTAATAATGATAACAAAGTTGTAATTTGAGAAACTAGTCCTCTTCTCTATCTTCTCCCATCTAGAAGCTGCTTATTGATATATACATTTCCTCATATATCTATTAGTTTCTCAGGTAGAGAAAAAGGTAGTGCAACCTAGAAAAAATGGTAAAATGACATTCATTTTGGATATCCATACATGAGAAAGAGAGTTGTATTGGTTTTGCCTAGCTCCAATTCCTTCAATATAAGTAGGCTTAGCTACAGTTCCTTCAATGCAAAATATCTCTCTATTTTGCTTCCTTGTATTAATCTATCTAATATACTAAAGTAAGGCCCTGGTTGCACAACTGAAAACTCCTTACACATTTAACTGTTTGCATTCTAAAATTTTTTGTTTTCAACACATTTCTTTTACTATTTCCGCTCCAATTTAATGATATAAATGGAAATTCCAAAAGTTACCTTTTGAGCTGCCTATTAAATCACCAATCGAATAATTCCATACTAGGAAGAAGAATGTACTTTTCGTTATTAGTTCTTTCTCCTAAAGAAAAACTTTCCAAAATATATTTTGCTATACCATTTTCCTTCCTTTTATGATTTTATTTCCTCGAAAAAAAACTTACAATAATATATTCTACCATCCCATTTTCCAAAGCATATTGGTCTAACATAAATTTACTTAAATTTACAACTTTGTCAGTCTACTAATCAACATCCAAGAGAATCACAACTTTCAAAAAAAACGGCAAGGAGGTGGTCATGAGGAAGATCCATACCAGAACCTTGCTCCCTTAACTACAGAGATAAAAGAAAAAGAACAACCTCAAGAAATATATAGCATCTCTCATTCAACTATCATAGTATAATTTCAAAGCTTATTATATAGTCCATATTGTTCATGAAGATTTCCCATAAGTTCCTTATAAGATTGAGTCTCTTTCTATGCCTCCCTCTTATATCCATCTCATCCTTGAGATCCTAAAATGATAAGGACATTAAGGCTACAACGTGAAAAGTTTTAAGTTCTGTCCCCGATATTCATAGACTTATATTAATTAAAGAAAAGCTTTAAAATGTGTGGATATTTTCTTTTTTACGCAAAAAACTGAGTATATATAAGAAAAAAATGATTGCCTTTTTTCATTAAGAGATTGGAACCTTCGTCTGTCATATATTTTCGCATAATATTGATTTTTTTGAATTTCTCCCTTGATTAATAAATTTTGTATTTAAACTGATGTCGATAGCATTTCTTGATCCAGCAAAAGCATCAGAAAATTTGGATCTTTCATCTACAAGCACTCACTTCGAACATCTACTTTCATATTTCATGTTCACGGACTTCGATTGCATTGATTTCTCAGATATATTCTTTGTGCACTTGGCGTTGAATAGACATTGATTATTGTAATACCACAAATAGAAACAATAGCCTTTATCCAATTTTGGGTTACCTACATGAATCTTATTCTAACATTCAATTGCATAATACTTTTCTGGTCATATAAAGTAAAAAATTTATAGAGAAATTTTTGAGAGAAATAATTTCCCACAGCATGGCACATGTATAACACTAGTTATCAATATTAGTGGGTTTAGCTGCAGTTCCTTCAATACAAACTCATTGTTTTGCTTCCTTGTACTAATTATGAATATAAGGAGGCTTAGCTGCAATTCCTTCAATACAAAACCTTTCTTTGCTTTGCCTACTTGTACCACGTATGTTAAATTGTGCAATGTAGGACCCAAACAAGTTTCTCGAGGGGCAGGAGCCCATCTTCGACCCCATACGAAGATGAAGAAAAAAGGGGGGAGTCTCACACTCATAAGCCGATGAAGGCCATAGTTTGAATATCAAAATTTATCATTTCATTGGATGCTTGTGCTCATATTTTGGGTTGATCACATGATGATGTCTTAAGATCATGTTTTATGGCTGTAATGAAGTATATGTTGACTATTGTATTTTATGATGATATAAGGATGTCGTTTATGTACCTTTGAGAGGCTACCAATGCGTTTTCTAGTTACATCAGGTATGGTGTCTTAAGTGCTGCTATAATCATTTTGCTTTTTGTATCCACTTTAACTACATTGACAACGATCCTCTGATGTGCTAATAGTTTGCTTTTTTGTTGGGTGGTTGTTGTTTTCTTTTTAATCTCTCAATTTCATGACAAAGTCTGAAATTAATGATAGGTTGACATTTACCACTGTGAAAGCAACTAGTGTTTTCTAATAAATTTTGAGAGTTGAGGGCTCTGTGAAATATTTTCACAAGTTGGGTTATGGTTTATGAATTTTAGATCTTCTATAAGTTGCAACTTTGTAATAATGAAGTATATATGTTGATGACTAGCATGACCAATGCGGCAATGCCATGTGAACTTTAAAGTGTTTGGATAGCAAAGTTTAATTGTTGTCATTTTTTATTACTTTTAAGTTGCTACATGAGTTTTGTCATATGAAGTGGTTTTAACTATTGCATTTGATTTAAAGAAGAGGGGTTTTGAGAGAGTTAAGAGTATTTTCTTTAAATATGTATTTCAAATCCAAATTCATGTATAGTAGAGCGTATCCAAACATTAGATTTGAAATTAAATATTTTAAATCCTTGAATTTAATAAGAGATCCAAACAAGAGATTTACCAAATCATGGATTCCAAATCCCTTGATTTCAAATCTGCCTCCAAAATCCAAATCTCATTTCCCAAACGCAACCTTAAACAATTCTTACCATTCTCTAATACCTAGCTCAAGTTGCTTTTAAAGGCCAAGATCCATACCAGATTGCTCAACTGATGCTTGACCCTATCACACCAAGTAACAATTCCCAACAGCTCCAACTTTCTTAACCCAAACAGGTACAACTGCCCCTTCAAACCTATAGGCACAATTCCATGCCACTGTAACCATGGGAAACAAATTGGCTTGAGGCCAAAGTCAGAAAACACTAATAGAGCTGCAGAATAATCCTTTTAATGGTCCTAAATTTATATTGTGATCATTGTGCATCAACTGCACGAAGTTAATCTAGTTTACATTAATAATGGGAGTTACGGTTTGATTTGATTAATAGATGCATCTTTCCACGCCAACTTGAGGAAAGTTGCAGCTACTACCAACAAGATTTGAACATGAATCATATCAGTAAGAAACTACTTGCCAAATTAAATTAGAAGTCGATGTGGGTAAAAATGATTCCATAGTTTGAACCGCCTAAAAGAGAACTATATTTTTTTAATCTATTCATCAAACATATATTTCTAATGACAAGTTGCTTAGTGCATGATCTGTCTAAACACCATCCAGATTTGATATGTAAGGTTTCTATTTAGATCAAGATTCAAAGTCTCTGCTTTGTATTTTAAATTTTTCGCTTGTCAAGCTTTACTCCACAAGTAAAAAGTCTTCAAAATCGTATGAATTTTTGCTTTTTCTCCCATATATTTATAGGCAGATTCTAACTTTTATGCTCCAGTTTAGCATCTTAATAAAATTTAGTTCAAACTCTATGACAAGAGTCTGTGTGAATGCACAACTTTATCATGAAATTCTAGAAATTGCAATATGTGTGTAACATGTCTTATCAAGAACATGCAAGCGCCATAACTATTGTTCAAAACATGCTAGTTGCTTGTCACTACAACATAATTTCATTCAAATAGTCAGCTTTTATGTAGATCACATCTATTTTATGGATTTATAGTATAAGTCAACAGTGGATTGTCAACAACAAATACAGTCATGACAAATCACATTAAATGTGACATACAGTTTTGGAGTGTTAAATCAGATACAAAGTTATATGTCTAAAAGAACTAACCAAATTAAGCAAACCAGAAATTTCTAACCTCATAGAGTGCAGTAGTTGGTTCTGAAGGCAGGAAGATTCCTTGGAGCACTACTCCATCAGGAAATTGAATTCGTATTACTGCTCGCTTATATTTCTTACGTGCAGCAAGGGCCTGCTTCTCCTTGAAAGATTTTGGAATCAGCAACTGAGATTCTGCTATCTTTTTCTTCCTTAGTTCTGCTTCTCTTTTTATTTCCTCCGCAGACAGATTATAAAAAGAATCAGGTAGGTCAATTTTAGCTGCTACAATTTCTGGAACAGAAAAGAATACTCGAACCTGAGATGACAGATACATTTCACAATCATCAAGTAAATTTCAACAAAACAACTTTTAAGAAGTGGCCAAATAGCAAAAATTTTAGAAGCTTCATCTGTCACACAACCAAAAAAATCATGTCACATGGAACATAACCGAGTACCTGGCAAATGATAATTCCTGCGAACTTAAGAATTAATTCTAACAGCATTACTGATGGATGAATCATGGAAAAAAATTCTGTAATATAATGGTGTTCATGCATAAGTACTACAAGGATGAATTGCCACCTCGCATGGGCCATTACATCACCTTACAAATATATGGTGAAGACAGGAAAATGCTACTATAGTAAATGATACTATATCAGCTTTAAATTTAATTAAAAATGAAAAAAAAAAAATCAAACAATAATACAGCTGATATACGCAATTAGTGTTGGGGCTGAGATCTATTATTTAATTGCAATAGCATATATAGGCTAACGATAATTGTCAAGTAAGAGGATCAGAAGGCTACAGAAATAAAAAAGAATAAATGATACTTTGAACTTTTCTAGAGTATCAGTATGATTCATAAATTAAACCGATGGAGAGGAAGGGTTGTTAATTAACTAATACTACATCATAAACAAATAACATACAACATGGGACTTTCTCTTGAATACGTCAAGTAAGTTGATCCACAACTAATGCAAAGATATAAGGACTTAAGGTTGATCCCTACTGTAAACCTATGGTAATAGCAAGGTTGCTGATAGCGGATTGCGGCACGTCGCGACGAGGTACCGCTAAGGTTATTTCGGGCTATTACGGCAAAATAGCGACAAATAGCGCATAGTCAAATAGCGGTCAAATATAAATACATTTAAATATTCTAAATAATAAGAAAAATCATATAAAAAACTAAAAATTCTACAAATGCATATTTGATGCCTAAACATGAAATAGATGTGTAATAATTACATAATATTAACAAAGTACTATAATTATAAATATTAAAGAATGAAAAAATGTTCATGTTTATCCAAAATATGTAGCTTTCACCCAATCTCCAAGTTCCAGCTTCATGCAAGATCTGCATTTTCCCAAATCCGCAAGACACAATCTCACATACGAAGATGCTTGAGGAAGCGGGCTGCTCTCTTCTAGTTGTCCATGGTCGCACGAGGGACGAAAAGGACGGGAAGAAATTCCGAGCTGACTGGAATGTCATCAGATCAGTAAAGAACGCTCTACGGATTCCTGTTCTTGCTAATGGAAACATACGGCACATGGAGACAAGCTTTTGTCATCAGATCAGTAAAGAACGCACCTTGAAGTTGTTGATGGAAGTCGTCGTCGGAGGGTTGGAGACCGGAGAGACAGTGAATGAGAGATGACTTGACAGGAGGAAGTGAGAGAGAGAAAGGTGAGTCAGTTGTTGTTGGCAATGTTTTAAATGTTGGATGTCAAGTTCATGTCGGTCGGCCAAAATTCATGTCGGATAACGAAAATCGGGGATATATCGAGGGACATGAAAAAAATATCGGATTGTCATATTGGATAGGTTGATATAATATCATAAATGGAATCTTCACATACTTGATAATTATATTGTCTAAACATATGAAAAAGTACATAACTTATTGATGTTAGGATCACTAACCAAAAGTACATAAATTATTGTACAACGTTTGAAATAATTATGTAAATAACAGTTTGAAACAAAAGCTATATGTACAACGTTCGCTGAAAATTAAACAAAAAAAAAGACAGTTTAACTAGTTAGCATGCTTGCAGTTTAGTTGGCTGAAAATTAAACCACAAAAAATGACAGTTTAACCATTGACTGCTTAAAATATTTGATTACTTAAAATTGAGATCATCGACTGCATTGAAGTTCTATTTCCATTTGATCGGATATATTGATAAAAATCTCCTATAAATTGAGATCATCTCTAAATGAATACAATTCACTAAAAATCTTCCCCTATACTTTTGAGTCTTTAAACTCTAACTTCAGAAAAATCCTCAAATTGGCATATATACACATCTATTGATAATCATATTTGCAATAATAGAAAATGATCAGCAGTAAAAAAACATAAGGGAAAAATAGATAATCAGTGAAAAAACAGTAGATAATGATCGGCGGCAAAAAGAACAACAATAGATAATCTAAGTGCAAAAAAAAAGAAGGGAAAACAAATTATTTTCAAAAAAAGAAGAAAACAAGAAAAAAAACCTGAGTTGAGGAGTCGATTGGCGACGGATCCGGAGGCGAAGGAGTCGGCGACGGTCGGCGTCGTCGTTCGACGTCGTCTGTCGGCGGCTAAACTAGGCGACTCCAAGCGGACTTTGAGTTTAGGAGAGGAGGAGCAGCAGACTTGTTTGAGGAGCGGTTGACTTCAACAAAAAAAAAAACCTTAAAGAAAAGTTAAATGAGCATATTGGGTCGGGTCGGTTTTTTCAAACTTGATCCAATAAGCTTAAAACCGTTTTTTCTGAAATTTAGCCGATTTTTCTTGACCGCAATGGCGCCCGACATACCCGATTTTTTCCGACATGTCCCCAACATGACCTCAGAAACGCAATACGCATTAAAATCAAGGATTTCGTGACGGCTAGGGTATCAAACCGTCATATCGGCCGCCATGTTGGACATGCGATATTTAAAACATTGGTTGTTGGTGGGCGGGATCGGTGCTGGAAGTCGTCGTCAGCGGCGACGTTGATGACGCTCAGAAGTCGTCAGAGAGGGCAGAGTTTTGTCGGGAGTCGGGGTAGACCAGAGAGGCGGCTAGGGCAAAGGCGACGGGAGAGACCAGAGAGGCGGCTAGGGCAAAGGAGAGAGGGTTTTATTGGAATGGGTACGGGTCGGGTTCGGGTCGGGTTCGGGTCGGGTTTAAGGAGATGTTTATGAAAAACTGTAGTGGAAAATTCTGCTTTTTCACCACTTTTCAGCCGCTACAGCGCGCAATCACCCGCTATTCAAGAGCGGTTTTCTCCCCCTAACCCACCCGCAAACCCCTTAAGCGGGGCGGTGAAGGTCCGTGACCGCTATTGCCGTTGTCCGCCGCTTTTTACAACACTGGGTAATAGGCAACAGTTTTGTCTCCCCTTCATTCGTCCTTTTTAATGTAATCAATATATGTACTAAAAATATGTTTTTTTTCTAAAACCCACAACATTATCTCCCTAGTACTTTTTCATAAGTTTTTTCTATATCAATAAAAACCATATGTAGATCCTTTCTCTTCTCCCTATATCTCTCTATTAACCTACTAATATACGAATAGTTTTCATAGTTGTGACTTCCCATGTATAAAACTATAGTGGTTAGTAGATACAGTTGTCTCCTTTCTTAGACTATGCTCAATTATCCTCTCTCAAAGTTTCATAATATGACTCATATGTTTGATGCCATGATAGTTTGAATAATTTTTATATATTCTTTATTTTTATATATCCATACCAAAGTGCTACTCCTCCGCTCATCAGGCATTTTCTTTAGTCTCAATAATCTTGTGAATAGTTTAGTCTGTCGTCCTTAGCTTATATCTTCAAAACATTTTCAAACTTTGACAAGAATATTGTCGGGTCCTACATCTCTTCAAATTATCATCTTCTTTAAAGCATCATTAACCTTATTAATCCTAATTTTCTCACAATATCTACACCATGCATTATGTTCCAAATCTCTACCTTCAACATCTTACAATTTACGGGAAAGCAATGCACTTCAACTGCCCCAAATGGGACTAACCACTTCAAAATTTCCAATTTTCAACTCAAGCAAAGAAATGAACAGCAGCAATAGTAAAATGAAACGTAACCATAGTTGGCTCACCTTTCGGTCGATCTTCTTCCTCTCGATCACCCTATTCCCCAAACCTCCCCTCCCTCCTCCTATCCAATCCTAAACCCCAAAATCTTCAAAAGCTCCACCCCGCCATTAACCTCGCTGACCACCTCCTTTATCATCGGATTCCCCATCCTAATCCTCCTAAAATTCTCATTCCCAGGCTCCTTCGCAACATTACTCAACAGTCTCAACACGACATCCACCAAATCTTTTCGTGGCTGATTCGACAAGTACAAACTGACTGACTCAGCCACTATGGAGGATTCGATGGGCGTTTTGGCGTTGGAATTTGTCGTGGTTAAGCAGACAAGAATTAAAGAAAATTAATTCTATTTCTTATTATCAATTTATTAAAGAAAATTAATTTTATTTAAATATATGATTACATTATCAATTCATTAAAGAAAATTAATTTTATTTAAATATATGATTACATTATCAATTCATTAAAGAAAATTAATTTTATTTAAATATATGATTACATTATATATTTTTAAAATAAGTAAAAGAATTAAAAAATTGAGAGAAATTAAAATAGAGTTGGAAATGGAGGAGTATGGTTGGAGTTGTAAAACTCTAAAATGGCATATTCCATAGAATATGCCAAAGTGGGGACTGCAAAATGCAGTCCCCCATTGGAGTTGCTCTTAGAAATCTTTTTGAACTGAACAATCATTAACTTTTTTTATTTTATCAAACTACAATATATTCTTTATATTTACACTACAGAAAGAAATAATGCTGGAGCGTGTAAATATAGAAAGCAAAATTTACAATATATTCTTTATATTTTAATAATTTAGTAGTGGACAAATTTTCAAAACCGACCCCTTGGGGTTTTTATTTGCAAAAAACGACCGGTTTTGAAAATATTTACAAAAACCGACCCCAGGGGCTGAAAACAGGTCGGTTTTTGAAAATTTTTTTCCCAAACTTCACGGGAGTTGAACTCCCGTGAAGTTTTTCTCATAACAAAACTTCACGGGAGTTCAACTCCCGTGAAGTTTGGGAAAAAATTTTTCAAAAACCGACCTGTTTTCAGCCCCTGGGGTCGGTTTTTATAAATAAGTGTGAAATGGGTCGTTTTTTGCAATTAAAAACCCCAAAGGGTCGGTTTTGAAAATTTGTCCTGCAAAACTATTATTTTGACAACTTATTAATGTTTTCACTAGCATTTTTCGACAAATAAATTTCAGGGGTAATTGCATAGTATTATTATTAGTCAAAACTACAGCAAAACATAGGACAATTTTTTTTCAAAAAGATTAATTTTCCAAGTTAATTATTAAAAGCAACTATGTTTACATTTATTAATTAGGTTGAAATTGCAGTTGATTTCCTCGTTATGATTGATGTTATAAAAGGTTCAACTGCTCCTCCTTGGCAATTCACTCATCATGCAAGGATATCATGCAACAGTTATCTTCTATAATTTTTCACACCAACCACATTTACAGAGAAGCTCACTTTATAGCAGACAAATTTAACAACAGATGACTCTAGGTTTTCGTCTCTTGGTCTTTTTTTGTAGAAGTGGATCTTTTCTAAAATGTCAGTCTCGCTTTATTTGATGATAGATTGTGTCTCCCACATATAAGGAAGTGTTGGATATTTTGTTGGAGAAAAGGCAATTTTGTCTTCATGAATAGTCTCACATGGAATAGTGTTATGAATACAATTAAAACGTGCATAACGGCTATACATTATGGAGAACGTTACGAAAATTTATGACGAATGTTACTGTATTAATTGTAGGAATTTTAATGGTTTTCTCAACCCTATATATATACACCCCTTATTCATATTCGGAATATATACATAAACAATTCTCTCTTCTTCCTCTTCTCTCCTTTGCATATTATTTTCGTTCATATGTTGGTGTTATTTTTGGACAACTGTTCTTCGTCTGAGCTGAATCTTTGTTCTCTCGCCCGAGTAAAGAGGTCGGTCGCTTCCGGTGGTTTTTACCGCTAGGGGAGAGATGATCATCTGCGCCAGGGCGATAGGCGGGTCCTCAATCTTCTAGGACAGTGTTTACACGACTGCTCCCGATC